AGCCCTCGCAACCAATATTAATTATAGTTTAAAATTATATACATGTATAGGTCAAATATGTACCCACGAACACACACACGTACACACACACATACACACACACATACAAACTTACACAGTTATTATATACATGTAATACATGTATACAGTGGAAGATGCCTTAGCTTTAACGGGAACCTGTAAGTGTAGGACGGAAACGTAGTGTCATCCCAGAATCTCCCCGCTCCCCATTTGATAAATCCCTTTATCTCTCTCTATATATATGTAATTACTTTTATAAAACGGAAACCTGTCTTACGCGGAAACGAAAAGAGAAATCCTTCCCTAAGGAGGTATTTTAGAATGTACATGTCTAAGACGGAACATGCTTTGCACACTCAGCACTGATTTGAAGCAAAACTGTCAAGTTTAGTTCCATCGCCTCTCTAATCTTTACGCCTTGCAGCCAGGCGAGGAAGGGGAAAAGGGTGTAATTTGGGGGTAGATGTTACTCCACCCATGTGAGTCGTGAGCCGTGGCCTACGTGCGTGAGCCCTCTGTGGATGGGCAGGGAGGTGTGGGTGTGAACTCTCACCAGTGCCTGTGAAGTGATCGAGCGGCGCCCCAGCAGCAAAGATTCTCTTTGGCACCAGCACGGAAACTGAAACGTTTCTTGGTAGCCAGAGACCAGGGGTGTGAAATAAGTTTGACCAATGCCCGCCTCCTTGATCGCATGGCCAACCGAGAAAAAGGGTTCCACGTATCGTTGTTACACGCAGGTGGCATTGGTTGGCCGTGCCTTTTACACCGGTGGGTGGGGCTAAGTCTAAGGCAAGGAGGCTATACACTATACAGTTGTTGTAGGGTCTTCGGGGTAAAGGTGGAAGCCTAGGCTTAGACTGAGAAGGCCTAGGTGGAAACAAAGGAGATGTTTTACGTTTCTGTCAAAGAGTGGTCCTGTGAAATGCAAGCAATTGGTAAGTAGGACTGACGCATGCCTTTTTCTGCAGAGGATATCACGAGAGGTGGGACGTTTTGACCACTGTTGCCGACCGGACAAGCGGCCCAGGCCTGGATCACTGATCCCACCGGCTGGGCCTATA